CCCCAAAACCCCAAAACCCCAAAACCCCACGCCAAATAAATAGTTGAGAATTATATTATTAATTATAATAAAAATGAAATATATGTGTATCTTAACCTTATGTATCATGGTTGTGGCAGCCAATGTGTGCCAGAATGATGCTCAGAACGCAGGATCTCCTCTCTCTGGAAGTTTGGGAATGGCCGGAACTAATAATGTCTATTTTTTGGATATTTTGGAAGACCAAGACAGTGAATTACTCTATTTTATTGGGTATTTTGGTTCATCTCCATACGACACAATAATCTATAAGTCAGACCCTGCCCTGGCCAAAGTGAAAGTTATGACGTATTATATTTACTGCAACTTTCATACTCTGGCTATGTCTTCTAGCAATGACTTTATCTACATCCAAGATCAGAGGACTGGGAAGATATTAGAGATTAGAACTTCAGACCTGGTCATCTCCAGGGAGTTGGAAGTTAGTTCTGCTTCAGTGGATTTGAACACAAACATGGAAGTGGACAAAGGTTTCTACTTCAGCTTCATCATCAGCTCAATTATGCACACTTGCAGATGGGACATGTCAAGTACCAATCTAGATTGATTCACTTTCGGAGCCAACAGTCCTCCCAGTTTAGCTCCAATCAGTGCTGATCTGTTATTCTTTGGGTCAATTGACACAGCAGCCGACCAATATTACCTGGTGAGCTACAACTTCTCCTCCTCCAGCCAGGTCTGGAAGAAGAGCATTGCTTGTCCCACTTCAGGATGAGTGAGCAAATACAGTGCCTCCCTGCTGAGTACCGATGAAAGTTGGATCTACACAATGGTTCTGTACGATGGCAACTTTATTTTCCACAAACTCAGCACTGCTGATGGGAGTCCTCAAAATTCTGGACTTATTTGGAACGACAGTGGGTATTTGTATAGTTACTCCATAAAAGAGTTTAGTGACTTCATTGCCATTAATATTTTTAGTACCTCACTTTCAATACCTACAAGGTTAATCATGGTGACATCCTCGACAACAGAAATTCTGAAGGAGTACAAGGCGATAGACTCGAGTGATTATGCAGTAGGAAGGCTATTATATCAAGGTGAAGAGCTAATGTACCATTCTGGAAGAATAGAGACTAATTATGCATTCTTCTTTTCAAGAACACCAACCAACAACATTGAGCAGATTTCTGAGCTTCAAGAAGACACTCCTTTGTTTAGCTCAATTACCACAAACTACCAGGCGTCTGCAACAGCATCTAACCCAAGCATCACAACAAGCACTAAGACTCTCAATATTGTCACCTCTCCAGCTATCACTACCACAGATATCACATCATCGACCAACCCCTCATTTGCCAAGTATGTGGCTTTATGGAATTCAGACCTCGTACAGTCGGTGCAGAGTAATTCTTCGGTCCAACTGAGTTTCACTTGGGCCTGTGCTCAATCATCAAATAACACTGCTATCACTTTCAGTCTGAACCAGACTGGAACCAATGTGATCCCTGATTGGGTAAATTTAGATGCAAGCAGCCTACAGTTAAATCTTACCACCACCCCCAGACTTACAGTTGCTACTGTTTATTACTTTTCTCTGAAGATTGCCTTCAACAGTGAGGTTCACTACAAGAACTTCCAAATCACCGTCGAAGAGTGAACAATTGGGCACTGAGACCTCTGACAATTAGGCAGCCCCAGTATTTGACAGACTTGTACAGATGGCTACCAAAGCTCTAACGGAGGCACATCTTGTTCCATTATGGCTTCATCAACTGAAGCAACTACTCCAACTGAAACAACTACTCAAACTGAAGAAACTGCAATAACTGGAGCAACTGAGACTACTACTGCTCTTATTGGTTGAAGTGTTGTGGCTGCTAGTGCTTCATCGATGTTATCATTATCGTCTATAAACTCAGTATTTAGCCTTATGAACGGTATGCAACTGATATTGTTATTACCTATGGTTCCTGACTTCTTATCTCCTGTAGTCGAAGCTTATCTTAACGGAGTAAGCTTCGCAATGTTTTCTTTCGATTTCATTAATATCAAAGATCTGTGGTTTATAAGCGATATTTCCAGCTCTCTGTCGTATCCTCAAACCGATAATTACCTGAATGATCTTGGATTGAGGTCAAAGAGCTCAATCGCAAATAACCTGTCGTTATTGCTAATTGTTGTCTTATTTGGATTCGTTCATTTAGGAATTTATATAATGGTAAAGTGCACTAAAAATTCAAAGCATCGCAAGTGAAAAAGTTTTATTGATAAGCTTTTCAAGTTCTTCACGTTCAACATATACATAAGGCTGTTTATTCAGGCATTCTTGTTCCTGTGCCTGTCAATTTTCTCAGAGTTTAGCGCCCTCAACTTCAACTCGACTGTAGCCGAAATATCTTTTGGGTTATGAGCTGTTTTGACAATATGCTCGATTGTGTTGCTTCTTTTATGATTTCATATGTATTATATATCATGCTCTCAAGTTGGGAGGGATAAATATTGGCAATGAAGTGAATATTTTAATGGGGTTAAGGCAAATAAATACTCCAAGCTTTATTCAAGCGTGTACTTGACGACTAGAGTTTTGCTAGTATTATTTCTCATTTTAGGGAAATCATTCAGCGCAATTTATAAAGCTGCTTTCTTCTGCTTTCTAAATTTTTCTTATGGAGTCTATTTGCTTACTTCCAGACCATTTGAAAACCCACAAGATAGCATTATTGAGTGAATAAATCAGACTCTGTTCTCCTTCTTGACGGTGCCATTGTTGTGGTTAAATACAGAAGAGTCATGGACTTCATCCTATGAAACATTTTATACAACCTTATTTGTCTCTGCTTCAATAATATCGAGTATAGTATGTTTCATATTTCTCATAAAACTAATTATCACCTTCTGGAGAAAAAGGAAAGCAGCACAACCCCTACAAAAAACCTCCCCTAAAGAGGCAGCCTCTCCTCCAAGAGCTCCCCAGGACGAAGAACTAGAGACTCCTAGCCCATTGGCTACATCAAAATCCCCCTTCACTAAACCCCAGATGCACAAACTCCCTATTCCGCCCAGTAAGGCCATCCAAGTTCTGCCTTCTAAAAACCTGACTTTGGAAGAACTGAAATCCTAATTCTGTAGACACCCCTAATTTATGAATAAAATTTAGGACGGTTTACCGTCTTTTCCTCCTATTTCAATTCTCAGCCAGACCTCTGGGGTTTTGGGGTTTTGGGGTTTTGGGG